TGAGTGGCTTAGTGCCGTCCTGCTGGTAGTGAGTTGTCCCTCCTGTGGTCCTGTGAGAGCTGGTCCCTGTCACTTCCTTTCTCACCATGTGATCTCTGCACATGCCTGTTCCTGTTTGCCTTCCACCGTGAGTGGAAGTAGCCTGAGGCTCTCAACAGATGCCCAGTCTTCCAGACAGCAGAATTGTGAGCCAAGTAAACCTTTTTTCTTTATGAATTACCCTGTCTTGGGTGTTCCTCATAGCAACACAAAATAAATTAAAACAACATCCAAGGCTAAGGAGCTGAGTGATGCTGCATTCCTTTCCAGTTACTTAGTGCCAAGAGTTTATTGAAGATTCATCTCATGGGCCGTCTCCTGCCACCTGCAGCACTTGTGTATTTTGAACGGCACACTCACTGTTTGTGTTATAATCGTCATCCATCTTCCTTCTCATGGACAGTCTGCTCTGTGTAGGTGGAGTTATTGTTTTGTTCATCTTCACATCTCCAGAACTTGTACTTAGTAGGTTTTCAACAAATGCTGGTGCATCAAACTCATGTGGGAAGGAGCATCAGGTGTCTGAGTGCGTGAGGTGAGAGGAAGGGAGTGAGAAGAGACATTCCTGACAGAAGCCTGTGGTCTGATACACATTGAGGAGTGGAGGAGATCAGGTGGTTGGAAGGGCCAATGAGAACATCTCTAGAACTTGTACTTAGTAGGTTTTTCTTTCTTTTTTTTTTTTTTTACACATTTAGGTTTATTGTCACAAAGCAACTTGTACACTTTTAACATTTAAAACTGAGCATCATCTTTCCTTCCCAGTGAAACAAAAAGAAAATTTAAAAATAAACAGAACAAAATTACAATAGAGAATGTCAATTCCAAACAAGATCCTACAGGTTCTGCTGATTCTCCCATTTGAGTGGCAGGGCTCAGGTCATCATGAGGAGAGAATTTATTTTAAAAGTGTCATTTTAAACTGCAAGGATGTTCGTTAAACATCACAATTAAACATGCTAAAGGAGAAGCCACATTGTCAAAATGCCCACTTAACCCACCCAAACTTCTCAAACCCCCCTCTGCTGACCTTCTATACCCCATTTTTTAAAGTTTTTTTTTCTTTTTTTAAACAAGAGAAAGTAGACAGATACATGTTGGTAAATGCTAACTGTCCATATTCACATAGAGACACAGTGTACTCTCTGAGCCTAACATATAGAGAAAGGAAGAAAAAAGCTAGAATCCTATGCACTACTACACAGGGGCTTAGCACCCTCCAGCTTCCAGCAGAGCCAAGGGAGCAGGTTTTTCTTTTTCCCCACAGAGCTCGGGGGTGTTGATTCCGTACAGTTTTTATTGAGACAGGAAGGGATAAAAATGAATTTGGAACAGAAACGAGTAGAGATTCTTTTCCCATTGTATTCTGCTCAAGGTATTTCTCCCCCAAATAAGTTGAGAATCATGGTGTAGAGAAAAGAGACCTCAAGAACAGGGCGACTGAGCACAAGAGGAAAAAAAAAAGAATGCAACTTACTCCCAGGGACTGGAGAACATTTTTTAAAAGGTTGGAATCCATCAATGTTCTGTTAGTCATCTTCTCCTTCATCCACCTCTCCTTCTTCCCCTTCATCATCACCTTCATCTTCTTCACCTTCATCCTCACCCTCGACTTCATCAGTATCTTCCAAACCATCATCATCATCATCATCATCTCCTTCTTCTTCATCATCATCCATCTCAGGAACCAAGTAGTACTGTAATGGATTTGGCCAAATGTCATCTTTGATGACCTCTCCTAATTCATCTGCACCTGCATCAGAATGGTCAGGAAACCAGGTAAAGAAGCTCTCTGGTTCCTCATGCTGCCTCTCCCTGCTGGCTTTGTTCTGTGTTTGACTGGAACATTTCGTCAAATCCTTGCCAGATTTCCATTTGATTTCAGTGGACTTTGAAGATGGATCACCACTCTTGTTCAGATGAAATTCTTTGGAGAGAACTTTATTTTCAAAGTAAGGGTTTTCATCAAAATAAAAATCTATTCTGTAACCTGATTTAATATCTTCAAATTCTGTCATTTCAACTCTGGTCAAATAATGCAGTGCCTCTTCATCCTCCTCCCCAAGCAGCGTGGACACTTGGGGATGGTTGACAATGGGATTTTGGCAATCAATTCTGACCTCTTTTGAAAAAACGGTTGGCGGAGTTTGTTATATTTCTGTTCTACTTTCAAAATCTCCTCCCTGGCTTGTTCATTAAGTCTAATTCATTTTGTACTTCATCAGTATGTTCACTTGCTTCCTGCTGTTCTTTTTCTTTGTTTTCCGGCAATCCCTGAGAGCCCGAGGTGTCCTCCAGTCTGGGTGCAGTAGGCAGTCTTGGTTTCTTCCTCTGAGGTGGGAGCGGAGACTGGCGTTTGAGGGCCATGCTGCCAGGAAACTCTGAGAACCTAACCACAGGTCTCCTAGCTCAGCAGAAAGAATCTATGAAAACTGAGACAGCCCCAGGTGCTGAGGGTTTAAATCTGCCCTGGTGCAGCCCTGCCCCCAGCGGATATTTACATGACAGTGGGGCACACACCCCATGCCCCCTCCCCAGCTCCTTCCCTTCCCACCACCCTCCAATCAGGATAAACTTCTTTTACTTGCTCTTTGCTCCACTCTTCAAGGGCACTCTTGGCTTTGGAGAAGGGGGCACGTTCTTCCTGGTGGAGAGCAGTTCTGTGCTTTCCGGATCTCCTGCTCTTCATGTAAAACACCAGCAGCCCATCTCCAGTTAGGTCCCAAATCCCCTGGGTAGGCAGCAGCCTTGCCCCTCTGGAAAAACTTGGCATATTCTTGCTTCTGCCTCACCTTACATTCCTCAGGCACTGGCACCTCCACCCCGTGTCTGGCTAGCTCCTTCCCCACTTAGTAGGTTTTCAACAAATGCTGGTGTATCAAATTCGTGTGGGAAGGAGCATTGGGTGTCTGAGTGGTGAAGCGAGAGGAAAAGAGTAAGAAGAGACATTCCTGATAGAAGCCTGTGGTCTGATACACGTTGGGGAGTGGAGAAGATCAGGTGGTTGGAAGGGCCAAATTAGGGACACATTTGAAAACTAAATAAGAGAGGGTAGAACTGACAAGGACCCTTCCAAAAATGTTTTTCCAGTAGTTCTGCTGACATCCACAGTTTCCTGTAGCTTGGATTCTTCATCTGTCAATAGCAATATTGGATTTACTTTATGAGGCTGCAGTTCATTGGAACACACTTAGCATAGATCTGGCCTGTGGATTCTTGGAGTACAGTTATCTGAACTTAAGTATTTCATGATTTTTCTGATTTCTTATATGCTTTCTGGGACTATAGCTCTTTATTCACTGTTACTGCTTTGGATTCTCTCTCAACATAAATATTTGTTTAGTATTGATTATGGAATGCTTAATGAGAGTAGGGGTGAGAATGATTGTTTCCCTTCGGGGCTGACCTCTAGTGTATAATCCACAGTGGTCATCTAGGATGTAGATGTAGAAGAATAGTATAGAAGGAACTTAAAACAGTCCTATGAATGGGCTTGGGGTTGTGGATAGAGCAGGCAGAGATGTACATTGTACACAAACATAGCATTACAGATAGTACAGAAGACAGTCATCAGAAAATCACCTAGAATCTTCCCCACAGTGAAAACATTGCTATTTCTTTCTGTTTATTTTTATCCAGTATTTTTTCCTTTGATCTTTTTTAGAGTTGTATCGTATATACAATTTTATGTCCTTTGTTTTTTAATTTAATATTATAAATACTTTTCTTGTGGCATCATCTTTGTTTTTATTTTTTGAAATGTTTGAAGCAAGAATTAAAGTAGTATAACCAAATTGCAGAGTTAGGAAAATGGGAAAAAAGCCACTCACTTCTGCCACTCTATACAGTGTACATTTTGTTGTGACATTGTCCCTGTATTTTCTCCCTTTTAAGTAACTTTACTAGTAGTTGTAATCGTGAGTATAAAATTTTATGTTTTTTTTCTTTTTTTGCTAGTATAGCAGATGTATTTTCTCCGTTACCCTTTGGCATCATGTGTATTATTTTGAAATGATGCAATAAAATTCCCACTGAATAGATTTTTCTAAAATGTATTTAAGTCATTCTGCCTCTGAATTTTATACATAAATCTGAAAATACATCTTTTCATGGATCATCTTTTATATTTTTTTCCATATTTGGGATTATTTCCTAAGGATAGAGTCTCTGAAGTGAGTCAAAGATTATGAAAATGTTTATGCCAAATTGGTTTTGGAAGAATTTTCCAGTTTATTCAGGTTGAGTAACCCTAATCTAAAAATCTGAAATTCAGAAGGATCTAAAATCTGGAAGTTTTAGACATGACACTGAAAGGAAAGATTTGTTGGAGCATTTCGGATTTGGATCTTTGGATTAAGGATGCTCAACTGGTAACTATAATGCAAATATTCTAAAATCTGAAAAAAAAATCTGAAATTTGAAAAACTTTTGGTCACAAGCATTTCAGAAAAAGGTTAGATTGGCCGTGCTTCTGCATCTGCTTACTGTGTAATATCTTGCGTTTATATCCAGGCAAGGAAAGACCCCATAGCTCTGAGCAGCAGCTCTGTGTGAGAAACAAAATACGGTAGTCATAATGCTCTGGATTAGAAATTTGCAAATGTTGAGTTCGCATTTTGACTCTAACCTAGGAAATGATGTGAATTTGGGCGTGATACCTCACCTTCCTCATTTATAAAATGAAAATATGGATGAACTTCTAAGTTCCTGTGTAACTCCAGAGTTCTGGTTCTATTATTTCTGTGTGAAAATTGGGTAAAAAATACGTTGGAAACCTGAGGTAATCCAGGTATTGTAGGCTGTTAGTTGCTCATTGGCAGACTGGAATTTCATGGAGCAGCTGCCTTGCATGCTCATTGCCTTTGTCTTCTCCTTAGTGTTGTGAAGTTCTGTGCAGAAGGCATCTCACTGTTGGGGATTCTGGTCCAGTCGAGGCATTTGAGAACAGTGGTCCACGTTCTGGATAAGATCCTGCCTTTGTTCTACCCTTGTCAATGTTACCTTCTAAAGAATGAGCAGTAAGTATGTTCCATCTATTCTTTAGAAACAGCCTCGTGAGTACAAATGACTGTGTCTTTTGGTTTCTAAAATAAAATAAAGGGAGTGATTTTTTATTAGGGTATTTTTTTAGGGGACAGAAAACTTTTATGCCCCATTTTATTTTATTTTATTCAGACAGAACCTTACTATGTTGCCTTCAGTAGAGTGCTGTGGTGTCAAAGCTCACAGCAACCTCCATCTCCTGGGTTCAAGTGATCCTTTTGTCTCAGCCTCCTGAGTAGCTGGGACTACAGGTGTCCACCACAACACCCAGCTTCTTTTTTTTAGAGACAGGGTCTTGCTCTTGCTTAGGCTGGTCTCGGACTCCTAACCTCTAGCATTCCACCCATCTCGGCCTCCCAGGGAGCAAGGATTACAGGCATGAGCCACTGGGCCTGGCCGTGTATTCCATTTTAGAGTGCAGGCTGATGGACTGTGTTTCTAATAATGATTCCATTTTTATTATCATGAAACTTCTCATTTAACTGTAGATTGGTTATTATAACATATTAGTATTTACAAGAGCAGTTGTTTTCCTGATGCTCTGAAAATAGTGCTTCTGGTGCTGAGCACCAGCTGGCTTTGCCATTGTAACAACAGCAAAACATGCTTTTAGTTGCCTGCAGTGTGCACAGTCAGTGTTGCAAAGAGATATGTAGGAAGTGGGCAGAGAACTACCTGTCCTGGGAGTGGGGAGGTGAGAGCTGACTGGGGTCCCTTGAAGAGTGATGAAAGGGGAGGCACAGCCCAACGTGGAGGAGACCTGGGTGGTGGGGGACAGGTACATCAAGGACACAGGTGTGTCTCAAACTTGCCAATGTTGAGAATCACTCCAGAAAAACTTATTAAATATTGATCCTATGGAGGTTTTATTTTAGAAATGGGCTAGGGGCTTGGCACCTGTGGCTCAAGTGGCTAAGGCACCAGCCACGTACACACAAGGTGGAGGGTTCAAATCCAGCCTGGGCCCTCCAAACAACAATGACGGCTGCAACCAAAAAA